GTCTCTGGGTTCAGACCTTCTGAAGATTAGAAGGAGTCCATGGGACCTTTCCTTTAGTAAACATCAGTACATTTTTTAGACTTTTTCCACAGGTGCTCACCTTCATATTTTCCACCTTCCTGATAGATCTTCCAACCTAATCTTCCGCTCTTCTTAGACATCCTGAGAAGAGTTGACAGTTCTACTCTCCTTCTTCACTTTCCCTGAACATGAAATTCTTTGCAGGGAGATGTATATTTCTATCACCTTTTCTAATTTCTTCTCTCTACTCCTTTCTGACCTCTAGCACATTTTGTCTCCCACTGTCTTCATCTGTTTTGCTGCTGTAACAGAATTCCACAGCCTGGGTAACTCACAATGAACTGAAATCTGCTTGGCTCACTGTTCCGAAGGCTGAGTCTCAGGCATAGGGCCTTCATGCTGCATCATCCCCTGGCAGAAGGTGGAAGGGCAGGTGAGCACATAGCACAGTCAGAAGAGACCAACCTCTCCTTTTACCAGGATGTCACTCCCTAGTCTCAAAGAGTGTGATAGCTAGCACTTTGCCATATCGGAATACAATGACAGTTGGTTTACTATTCTTTTGCCCTTTAATTGTTTTGAGCACGTGTCTTTCCTTTCCAACCAGATAATAAGTGCATTGCAAGAAGCTCTGCCTCAGCATCTCTTACATCTCTGAACTCCTAATATAAGGTCAGGTCATTGAAACTTTTAACTCCTGCCATCCTCAAGAGTTACACTGGTTGGCCAACAGCAAAATTTACTAAAATTAGTTTAATAAGACAATTGAGAGCAGACATATATATCTATATCTATCTTCCAAAAGCTGAATTTTGTCATGAAAATTAATATTTAATGGATGATATTTCACTAGACAATGCTGCTTTGTGACCTGTGGTTCTAGATAATCTGTGATCCTATTTACTTCCAGAGATATAATAAATGTTCTAAGTGCAGCCGAAACTTTCCTGAACTTCAAACTCAAATCCTATTGCTGACTCAACATTTCCATGTGGATAACTAATCGATGAGTCCAAACTGAGCTTTTGGTATCTATCCTCCCCCTCAAAAATATAAAACAGAACAAAAACAGAAACTATCTTATCAACTTTTGTATCTCAATTTATGGCAATGTCTATCTGTTCATGCCAATAGCCATAGAGTTGTCAAAGCCTGCTCTTTCTCTCAAACCTCATAACCAGTATCAGAAAATCCTGTTGGCCCTACAAATAAGATTAAAATGTATCCACAGCTCAACCAATATTCACTGTTCTCTTTGGTACCACCTTAGTCCAAGTCACCATTATCTTTCACCTGAATTATTACAATAGCATCCTACTCAGTATGCTTGCCTCCACCCTTGTAAAGCATTCCTCTGATCAAAACATGGCAATGGATCCTAATCTCAAAAGAGTAAACGCTAAAGTCCTTATAATGGCCTATAAGACATGTAAGACCTTGGAACTTGCTTCAATTCTAACCACATCTCTTATTCCCTTCCCTCAGTCTCCCCTCTTTTTTTTAAGAGAGATTTTTGCTATGGGGCATGTGCACTCACTGGGGACACTGACAGAAAGAGAGAGAGAGACAGAAACAGAGAGAAAGTAAAAAAAAAAAAAAAATACACACACTGGGACCAGCAGTTGGCATAATGGCTATGTTGCTGGACTCCCATGTAGTCGACCATGGTTCAAGTGCCGGACCCAGTGGCTTAAACTCAGGCCAGGTGCGTGTTAATGCGTGCCCAAGATCCCGAGAGGATAATGGAGGAGAAGGGATTGTGGCATGGCCATCCCCCCTTGAGGGTGATTTCTTGCTTTCTGTCTCTGTCTCTCTCTGTCTTTCTGGCAAGTGCACACACCCTATATCCAAAACCTGTCTCTCTCTCTCTCTCTCTCTCTCTCTCTCTGGTAAGTACATGTGCCCTATGATATTTGTTTTGTTTTGTTTTGTTTTTGCTATAGGGCACGTGCGCTTTCCAGAAAGACAGAGAGACAGAAAGTGAGAAATCACCCCCCAGGGGGGATAGCCACGCTGCAATCCCTTCTCTTCCATTCTCCTCTTGGGATCTTGGGCACGCACGCACACGTGCCCGGCGTGAGTTTAAGCTACCAGTTCCGGGACTCGAACCACAGTCAACAACATGGGAATTCAGTGACACAGCCATTACGTTAACTGCTGGTCCCCTGATATCCCTTTTAATTGGTGTCATAGATAACTCCAGTTCTTTAAGCCTTCATTCAAATATTCACATCTTATTGAGGCTTACCTTAGTGGACCAGTTCTAAATTACAGCCTTCCACACCTTAGCAGTCTTAATTCTCCTCCCCTGTCCTTTTGGTTTCCATAGCATTTATCACTGTGTCATGAGGAAGTGATTCTCATATATCCAACTATAAGAGCATAATTGACCAAGACTGCCTTGCTGTTGCACTCTGAAATCCATCCCTGTGTTAGCACAAGGTCATGCTTCCCAGGGGCTACTCCCAGGCAGTGACAGTATAACTGGAATGTCAATGAAGGCTCATTCCTGGGAGACCCGGGACATCCTGGGAGCTGGCTTTGGCCCCAGGACTCTCTTACAGCTTTGCCAATCTCCCTTGGACCACTCTGCAGATTAGGATGCTTCCATACCACTTTCCCTCCCTCTCTTTAAATCGCCCAAACTTTTCCAGCTCTAACCTTGCATACCTTATTTCTCTCATCTAGTTACTTCTCCTAATAAAATCCTGCACATTTAACCTACCTTGGCATTTGTTTCTCAGAGGACCCAGAATAATATAATCCCCATGTCACCTATCACAGTTTGCTTACTCGGTATATTTATCTTTTATAGGCTACCAGAATAAAAGTTCCAGGAGAGTAGAAATTCTGTTCATCTCTATATCCTAAGCACCCAGCATAGTGACCAACACATCACAGGTGCTCAATAAATACATGTAGAATGAATAAAAAGGCTTTAAAAACATTACCAAATAGTAGTAGTACCATCTAAACGAATCAATAAATACATGATGACACCAATTAGTTATCACAATTCTGCTCCCTCCTAAATTCCCTGATCCTCTTTTCTCTAGAACTCCCCAGCACCAGAAAACCCCTGGGTTTTCCTACAGCAGAAATGATATTTGAGAGGTAAATTGTTTTTAGGAAAAGATCCAGACCAATAATTGGATGACTGCCCATCTGTTCTGGGCAGCAAATATGCAGTTCTGACTAAGATATTTATCACCACTGCTTTCTTGATATTTCTTCATTTTAGCCAGGATTTGCAAATAAATAAAATCAAAAGTTTTGCAGATTTTACTTTTTAAAAAAGCTTTAATATTCATCCAATAGCAATCAAACTTGGCCCATACCTAATCATATTCCTG